TGGCAATGGTCCACGGGGATGCAGCCGCTGCCTGCGATGTCGTCGTACACGGTGCCTGGCACAATGCAGGGCACACGTCACACTTGGCTGACCTCGGAAAGTGCTGGCTGGAATCCCCACAGTGGGGCTGCCAGCCTGACCCCCCACCTGCAGGCACCCTGGTCTTTGGGTGACACCTGCGATCCCCATAGACAGTCCAGTCAGGCCTCCAGGCCGCCTTCTGCCCCAAGAGCTCAGTCCCTCCTGGGGGCCTCCAGGCTCTAGGGCAGGGCAGAAGGGGGTCTGTCCAGGGGCTGATGACCAGGAAGACGTCCCCCCAAGACTGAAGCCACCATTGTGTGTATGGGGGACCAGGGTCTTCAGTGTGTGTCCCTTCAACCTGGTCCTTGCCCCAGATGCCAGGGGTGGGGAGGGCACCCTGCCCTCTTCCTATGCCAATGATTCCCCACCAGCCGGGCACGGCTGCCTATCAGTGCAGCTGAGAACCCGAGGCACTTGTCCCACAACGCACGGGCCTGCTGGCATCCGCCACACACACCTTCCGGGCAGAAGCAGCCATCCATGTAATGCTCTTCACACAGGCTGCTGACCTCCAGGTGTGAGCAGGTGTCCATGCAGGGCGAGCCGCTCTCCAGGTAAACCATGTTCCCAGGGCAGCTCTTGGCTAGAAGAGCAAAGGCAGGCCTCTCAGCCACATGGGCCAAGGGCTGGGGTGGAGGGCTGCACCGTGGCGCACCGGGAAGGCTCCGGCCCCAGCCCCAAGGCTGAGGCGGTCTCCAGGACCGGCACAGATGTGGCTCCCTGTGCAGCCTGCCCTGGACCAGCAGAGGCCTCCTGCCCATGGCCCATCCCCCCATGGGCCCGGGGCGAAGCACTTACAGCAGAGCGTGGAGGTCCTCCAGTTCCCCGGGCGCCCGCCAGCATGGGAGCACTGGCGGGAGAACTCGGCAACAGTGCTGCAGACGCAGGTGGACCCCGGCGCACACTGGCACTGGTCCTGCACACAGGCCTGCACGTACAGCTCCAGGGGCACCAGGCCCAGGCAGCCCTCAAAGGCCTTGGCGGTCAGCAGCCTCTCGCACTCAGCACGCTGCGGCAGACACGGACTGTGGGTGGGGACTGCTCGCCCTCCTCCCTCCACGGGGCCCAGAGGGTCTGCCAGCAGGCATAGGGCTGTTGGGGGCAGGGGTCCCCAGCCTCTGACTCACGTGCTCTGTGCAGGACGCGGGGGCTGGCACCTCCTCGGGGTCGTTGCATACCACCTCGGGCTTGTTGATCTTCTGCATGTTCCCAAACTCCAGGACACTGAAGAGCACGCCTGGAGGGCACAGCCCATCAGTGGGGGGCCCCGGGGCCTGCGCACCCCCACCCACCTGGACCCCGAGGAGGCCCTCACCATCGGAGAGGAACTCGGAGTAGGTCTGCAGGCCGTTGTAGTCCCCACAGAGGCCACACGTGTGGTTCTGGAACTTACTGTCCAGTTCCAGCTGTCGGGAAGAGTGGGGGCTGGTCAGTGGACCACGTGGGGCAGGACAACAGTGCAGAGGCGGCCCGGGTGAACCCCACGGCCAGGTGGCCTCAGCACCTTGTCTGCGTGGGCGTCAGCATCCAGGAGGGCTGCGGTCAGCCAGGGCACGGCCTGGCTTTGGAGATCACTGAGACCAGGACGGTCAGCCCACCAGCCAGGCCCTGAAGGTCCTCTTCCTAGGTGGGCTACAAGACCCCACCTCTGCCACTAGCCTACTCCCACCAGCGCCAGACAGATGCCACCCCGGACCCCACCTTGGCAGGTCAAACCACTGGCCCTCTGTGCCCCACGGAAGCGTCCCCAGCCCCCAGGGCCCATGATGTGGGCCCACCCACCATGAGAGAGTCCTCGCGGTTCCACATGAGGGCGAGTCCCGCACGCGAGTAGACCTTGGTGTAAGCGTCGTTCCGCTCAATGAGCAGCCCAGGGCTGTAGTGCGGGGTGCTGACCCTGGCGGGGGGCACCGGGTGGGGGTCGCAAGTGAGCCCACATGGCCACCTGCTTCCCGCTGCCCGGAGGGGATGGCGGCCTGTGGCCTGGGCTCTCTCAGCCAGCCCTGCCCCGGCTGCTCCTGCCCTGGAGCTGCCCCATGGGGGATGTGAGCAGTGCCAGACAGCCCGTCCCCTGGGCTCCTTCAGGTGCAGCCCTACCACCTGCCCATTGCCCTCCCCACATCCCTCCTCAGGCTCTGCTGGGGCCCTGGGAAGACGGAGAGGCTCTGTGCCTCGTGGGCCCTGCACCCACACCCACTGGAGACCACGGCCTGGGGGCTCGGAAACAAAACCCCTGGAGCAGGGTGGGGGCAGATCCTGCAGGTGGCCGGGCAGGAATGTACTCAGAGCCCACATTGTTCCCAAGACAATAGGGACAATAGCCAGGCAGGGGGCTGGCCTCCCGCAGGCCCCTCCCACTAGCTTCTGTAACTCTAGCCTGGGCAGCCCCTGCGGGACCTTCCCACAGGGCCCCTGCCGCCACCAGCCCCTACAGGGCTACAGGAGTCCCTCACCCCAGCCCCTCCATCACGGGGCTCCCAGTGGGTGCTTGTCAGTGGATGAGTCAATGATCTGGATTCAAACCCGGACACACTCCTCAGCTGTGTGCCGGGAAGGCTGGAGTGGGGGGCTCACGCCCACTTGAGGGGCCGTCGGGGCCCGGGATGGGGGCACGGACACCACCAGCACCACTCACATGGCCCCGTTCACCACGGCCAGCTGGCGGGTAAGGTAGACGGTGTCGTCCTTGACAGTCAGCAGGATGTACTCAAGCTGGGGGGGGCCCCCACCCCGGCCCGCAGTCCGCTTCAGGTGCACCGCAAACTCCTTGTAGGAGTCCCGGCAGTCGGAGGCGAAGTTGTAGTCACACAGGCCAGGGAAGCGGAAGACATCGCCGTCGAAGGTCTTGTAGTGGAAGTCGCCCCAGGTGCTGCACACGTTGTGACCGTGGTTCCGGCTTCTGCCCTCTGCCGGATGGGTAGACGGGTGGGAGGGTGAGCGGCCAATGCCCCCCGCTGCTCCCAGGACCCCCCAGAGGCGGTCTTGCAGGAGGGCTTTGCGGGCCCTGCCCTCCCTGCCCAGGGGTCCGGCCCTCCAAATGGGCATCACCAGCTGCCACGCCCAGGCACCCCAGCCTGGCACAGGGCGTGGCCACTTGACAAGTGGGAGCAGGGGCTTTTGGCGCACTGGGCCCCCGCCTGGGTCACAGCCATTTCCATCCATTCAGCACTGCACCCAGCCTCCCCCACTCCAACCGCCCGTCATACAGCAGGACTGAGCTGGGCCCCTCAGAGGGTGCCCACATCGTGTCTCTGCCTGAGGCCAGGGCCCCCCAGTGGCCTTGCCGTCCAGCACTGATGGGACAGAGATGCCCCCACCCTATGTGCACAGCCTTCTCCGGCTGGAGCCACCCTTTCAGTAGGTGGCCAGATGTCCTGCTCTGCAGAAGGTGCCATCTTGGCTGTGACCCTCTGAGGGTCCCTGACTGCTGGGGGCCTCCCTAGCCCAGCCCCTGCCTCCCCCACATCCAAGGACAAAGTCCCAGCTTGGTGTCCCCTCTGGCTGCCTCCCACTGGACACAGTCTGGCGGGGTGATCACCTTTGAAGGGATGGAGGGGACCCGAGACCACCTTCCTTCCTTCCTTCCACCAGGGGTGGACGTCAGCAGGGGTGGGGGCTGCAAGGTGCCCGACCCAGGCCAGCCACCCAAGGAGCACCATGCGCTCTGGACTGCCCCAGGCTGCCTGCCCCCCGGAACATGCTGCCTGCCACCCCCTCACCTTTCTGGAGCTCCACACTCCTGGCTGAGGTCAGGGCCAGGCAGAGGGCCACCAAGTGGGCCAGCAGCGGCCCCATGGTGGCTCAGAATGGCGGTGTGGGAGACGGACCTGGGGCAGGGGTCCAGGCCTTATATGGGCTGTCAGAGGGCAGGGAAGGTGGGGGAGTGGCAAGGGGTGGGTGGGGCATTTGCCAGATTATCAAGAAAACAGCTGCGGGGCTCTCTGGGCCACTGCAGCGATGTTGATTCAGGTTATCTGAGGGTTATCTTTTATTGCCCCCTGGGTGAAGTAGCCCTCAGGATGAGGTGGTAGGTGGTACAGCCCACACACGCCCAGGCAGCCAGCGGGGCCAGGCCTGGATGGGAGGTCCTGCCGGAAGCACGTCCTGGCTGGCACACACCCCCCACGGCCCCCACCCGTCCATCCGTGCAGCACCCCAGAGGAGGGCAGGTGGATGAGGGGCCTCCCAGCGGGGGCTACTGGGCAGATCCACTGCCCTCATTTGCTCCTCTACCACTCGGAGGCCCAGTCCCCACAGCCAGTGCTGGACACTCAGGCCTGGACTCCAACCTCCCCAACCTGGCCCCAAGCTCTAGGGACAGGCAGAGGGGGCCCCTGCCATCCATGCACCCAGCCCCCAGGCAGGGAAGGTGTGGGCTCCTGTGGGGTCCCCGGGGCCACTCTGTCTTGGCCCGTCACTCATTGAGCTATGTTGGGGACCACCCTCTAATCCCTCCTTTTCCAGGGCTGAGCCAGTCTCTGGAATTAAATGTAATTGGAAGCCGAGCCAGGGGACACTACAGAATCACGTCCTCTGGGGCACAGGGGCCCTGGCTGAAGGCCAGGAGTGGCATCCCTGAGGGAATGGGGCAGGGGTCCCGGACACGGTCCCTGGCAGGCATCAGGGCTGCCGCTGTTGAGGAGGTGGCCCCACCCAGCAGAGACCCTGCCTGGAGTCTGCCCAACAGCCTGGTGCTTCCTCTCCTGGGCACCTTCCTGGGGGCGGAGGAGCGACCTCTCAGGCTCTCCTGGGCCCCATCTTCCACTTGTGGGAGAGGGTCTTGCCCCAAAGAGCCATGGCCCCTGACAGCCCTCAGGCTCCCCGGAGCCGAGCCCAGCACTTGTCTGGAAATGCCCTGCGGAATCATGGCTTGGCATGTGAACTTAGCAGCCCCAAACCTTGGGAAACCACTGGGCCAGCCAGCCCTCACCCCCAGAGGGCACAGGCAGGCACCCACCATGCAGCTGCTGGGTAAACTGAGGCCACAGACCCCTCCTCCATAAATATTCTTCCTCCTGAAGACAGATGTGCACCCTGAATTTGGCTTCTGACTTTGGCAAGAGTGTGGACAGCAAGCTCAGATCATGGGGAACTACAAATCCCAATCTAATGGTCCCCACGTTTCAGGGGCAAATGGGGAGGGATTCACCTCAACGTTACTAAGACTCTAGACAGGAAAACACGAGTGCATGGGGGCGTAGGGCTCGGGATGCCCTGCTTCCCTGACCCAGGCGCCCCTCACAAGCTGCGACCAGAAGCAAGTGCCGGCTAGAGTCACAGCCTTGGACTGGCGCCTCCCAGGGGCCCTCCTCTACAGACAGGACCTCTGTGCCACAGCGCCCAGGGCTGAGAGCTGCTCACACTGCCCCTCGGGGCAGAGACATCAAGGGACAAGTCCCCCCAGTGTCGGAGAGGGTCCAGGAGCCCAGGGCTCTGGGCCTGCCTCTCCTAGGGGACCTGAGATGAAGCCCCCTGTCCTTTCCCACTGTGCCACCAGCCCCAGGCCCAGGGACCCTCCTCCCTACAGGGACCCTGGAACCTGAGCATGTAGGGGACGTGGCGTGTGTGGCCCAGCCAAGAAGAGCGGGATCAGGAAACCAGAGCCGGCTGGGCTGGCAGGCCCATTGTGCCACTTCCCCATGGGGGCCTGCCAGGCTGGCATGGGGCCCTAGGGAAACCCAAGGACGGGCCCCCTCCACGGCCCCCAGGGGCAGTGATTTTCCATGTCAGGCTCTCCATGCCCTTGTGGGGATCAGACAAATGCTGGCCAGACATAGGATACCCAGCACAGCCCCTCCTGTCCGGAGTCTGAGAGGTGGGCTCCTCCCGTGGGGTTGAGAAGGTGGGGTCCTTCCCTGGAGTTGAGAAGTTGGCGACCTCCACCAGGGTTGAAAAGGTTGGGTCCTCCCCCCCAGTGTTTGGAAGGCGGGGACCTCCCTGGGGTCGAGATGGTGGGGTCCTCCCCCAGGTCTGAGGTCAGCCCTCTGGCCCCTCCTAGTGGGGCAGCAGTAGGGGCCTGCCCCGGGCTCTGACCCTGTGCTGAGACTGGGAGGGATGGAGCTGGCAGAAGGTGGTGGTGAGGGATCTGCGAGGCCGGTGACCAGGGCACCCCTGGCCCCAGCAGAGCGGTCCTGTCTCCAGCTCAGCTCCTCTACTGGGTCCCTGGGCGAGCCTCACAGCTGCTGGGCTGACTGACAGGCAGACCCTGGACGTGGCACAGGGCCCAGAGGCACACGCACAGACCCCAGGCACCACACCCAGCAGTGTTTACCCTGACAAGACACTTCCCGAGGATCGCCCGAGTGTACAGTCTTGACTACAGGGAGGAGGCCACAAAGACGTCATGAAACGCAGCCTGAAATGACTGTTCTGCTTCTGTCCACAAACCCTGACGCATCAGGAAGAGCAGCGGGTTGTGGAGAGGGCAGGAGAGAGGGAGCCCCGACCTGCCAGGGACACCTGCGGATGGCAGGTACATGACAGCACCCACCCCATTCTGAGTCACCGCATGTGATAACTAACTTTATGCGGCCATGCGGCCACGGTGCCCAGGTTTTGGTCAAACTCCAGTCTAGATGTTGCAGTGAAGGCATTTTTAAGTGTGAAAAGATCACACTCCCTAATGTGGGTGGGCCTCGTCCAGTCAGTTGAAGGCCTTAGGAGCACAGACTGAGGTTTCCTGGCAGGAAGGGACTGACCGCAGCTGCAGCACGGCTCTCGGGGGCCTCAGCCTGCAGCCCATGCTGCCGCCCTCCCAGCACGTGAGCCGAATCCTTGAGTACATCTCTCTTCTTCCCTCTCCCAATTACAGATACATACTCTTCTCGGACCCTCGGCCCAAACCCAGCTCCACAGAGATAGCCAGACCTCGGTGGGCATATGGAGGGTGCTCCCAGAGGAACCATGGGTTCCCAGCCTCTCTGGACACCCAAGGGAGACCCCAGCCCCAGCCAACCATAGAGTCAGAGTCCCTGGCAGGTAAGCATCTGAGGACTCAAGAGCAGGCAAACAAAACACGAGCCGTGCCCACCCCTTGCCCACGTCCTCCCTGAGAACCCAGAAGCACACCCATGTCCTGCACCTTCGGGTGTTCTGAGAGACCACGGGTTTGCAGGCCCAGGCCCCACATCCCCACTCCTGGCCTGCAACGGTGTACAAGGAAGATATCAACTACGCCCTCCCCACCCCGTGTGTGAAGGGCAGGTGGGTAAGCACACGGGGGTGTTTGTTACAAGGAGAGTGGGGAGAGGTCAGCTCAGCAGGCTGGGCTGGGCCTGGGCTCCACTGGGCAAGTGGACACTGGGCCACCCTCCTTGGGAGAAAGGACACCACCACCTTCAGGCAGTCACCTCCACCTCAAGCCAGCGCACGTATCATGCCCTTACCCTGACCACTGTCCTCACCACCATGGCCACACTGACTACTGCTGGACTTCCTCCTATGAGTACCTTAAGGGCAGCAGCCTATATGGACTCTTTCATGGGCCAGCTTCACAGTAGATGTGCTCAGTAACCGCTTCTGGGTGGTGGGTAGAGGGAGGGATGGGGAAAGGGTAGTGGGGTGGATGGAAGTTTGGGTGGATAGATGGATGAGTAGGTGGGCGGATGGCTGGCTGGATGGTTAGGTGGATGGATGGATGGACTGGTGGGTGAGCGGATGGATGGATGAATGGATGGATGGGTGGATGGACAGAGCGGTGGGAGGATGGGTGGGTGAGTAGGTGGATGGATGAGTGGATGCATCCATGATGGATGGGTGGGTGGATGGACAGAGGGGTGGATGGACAAACAAATCTCCAGGGTGGTAGAGGGAATCTTCTGTAGCAGCCCTGCAGAGCTCCTTCCTCCCAAGGGCTCATCGTGTGCAGGAAATGACCAAGGACGCAATCACCCATGTCATTAAAGCCTTCCACAACCCTGGGAGGCAGGTTCTCATATTACTTCATCTACAGACAAGGAAACCAAGGACCAGAGAGGGTGAAAGAGCTCCCCGAGCTCACCCAGCCAGAGAATAGCAGAGCAGGACAGTGGTCACAGTGAGCCTCTTTGCCCAAGCCCACGCTGCCCACCACTGCACAGTTGGGTGGCCATTTTTCACAGAGGGCTGACTGTTGCTTTTTGGAGAAATCCAGTCTGATCAATAATAGAACATCAGCGGTTCCTGGTGGTGTCACAGTCCCAGAGAGGAACCTGTGTCTCCCTCCTCCCTAGGGTGGCGCCCCCAATGACAGAGCCCTGCAGCTGCCCCCAGCCCCATTCAGTGAGGTCGTTTCATTATTTGTTAAACACAGTTGGATCAATTTGTCACATTTCTGCATGTCATCCTGGGATCCCCAGCCTCCTAAGCAACTCTTACTGTGCACACGTTCAGGTTCACTCTTTGGGCTATAAGGTTCTATGGGTTTTGACAAACGCATGGAGTCATGCACCCATCAGGACCGGATTCCACTGCTCTAACAACCCCTGCCCACCGATGCAACCCTCCCCAACACCCCCCAGAAACCACTGGTCTCTCTTGCCATCACTATAGATTTGGTTTGCCATCATCTATAGACTTATAGATAATGATTAATTTTAAACCTCTAGTTGCTAAAATAATTCTAGAATATCATGCAGCAACTATAAATTATGGCTATGATTTTATGTTGTAACAAGGAAAACACTTATGATTTACTGCTCGGGAAAATTCAGAACAGAGTTTTGTCAAAAAGCTGCAATTCGGAATATTTTAAAACAGCTTCACTGAGGTGCAATTGATACACAAATAACTGGATATGCCTAAGTGTTGATTCAATTAGTTTTGACTTAAATATGAA